ATATTTCCCATAATTTTATTAATAAATTTATAGAAAATATTAAAATCCAGAAAATTATACAATTAAACCTACCTTTATGCTATAAGTAAACTTGTTTTACGCATAAAAATACACCATATCAGTATGTGTTTACCTTATGATTTTAAAATTTAAGAGAAATATACTTAAATTTGGAATTTTTGACCAAAAATTCAAAATTAAGCATCTTTTCTCTTAAATTTAAAATTATAAGGTAAATGTATACTGATATGATGTATTTTTATGCGTAGAACAAGGTTACTTATAGCATAAAGGTAGATTTAATTAGTACAATTCTGTGGATTTTAATATTTTCTATAATTTTATTAACAAAATTATAAAAAATATTGTGATTTTTAAATATTTGCTTATTAAATCTCTTCTCAGCTTCTAAGTAAATTTGTAGAATAGTGTTTTGCAAGCAAAATGGTGGCTGAAACATTAAAATTGGCTTAGTGGATCACAAGATATAAATATTTTAGTCTTCACGACTATATGTTTTTTTTTTATATAAATAAAGAAGAAAACACATAGTTGTGAAGACTAAGATACTTATATCTTGCGATTCACTAAGCCGATTTTAAAGGTTTGATCACTATTTTGATCAAAAAATACACAAATTAAACTCTTACATGTGAAATTTTAATATATTAATATGCAATTTAAAATTCTAATCTTTTAAATAATTTTTTAAAAAAATACGCAAATTTAAATCTTACATTATTTAATTTGTCTATGATGCTGACACATTCTCTAACCTGACCCATATATGTATATTTCAGGGTCCTAGCTACTCTATTGCATAGATTTTATATATATTCAAGTTTTTTTCATTTTATTGCTTTGGCTTTTCAGCTTTAGCCATGTATTTATCAATGTACCTTCAAGTTTTATAGAGACTGGCCAATTATTTAATAGTCTAATAAAGCTTATTTTTATCTCATGACTATTCATGATTAATTGTGCCAAAAATGTGTTACATTCTTTACTTAAGAATAGTGATTTTGCTTCCAATATTGATATGTTCATTGCTGCATTATCTTGTAATTATTGTAGACAGATTTTCTAAAATAGCATTTCTTTATACATATTTAATATTGTCTCTAATATATATATATAGTGTTTCTGTTGTATTTGATCCACCTTGTTTAAACTATATATATTTGGATTCTAGAAGGTATTATTCGGCATCCCTTTTGCTATGCCAGTTTTGGTTTTAACTATGCTTGTATAGCTATTAGTTAATTTATCATAGCAGTATCTACTTAATTTCATATTGGATAGTTATATCTTAATCTTGCTAATATTACTGCATTAATAATATATATAGCTTGCTTTTCTGTGATCTTGCTATATTTTAGTTTTGTTATATCTTGCATAAACCCTTTTAGTATCTTCTTTTTTGCATAAATATTCATATTATGTTTGTCTATGTACGTTCCCAGAAACCTTACAATGTCCTGTTTTCTTATATTGACTATCAGTTTATTTTGAAAGGATATATATTAAGTGTCTGTTCTGTTATTATGTAGTAATACAGATTTTGTTGAATTAACCTTGATTATTGTTCAAAGATAAGCTGGCTTATCATGGCTTGCTGCGGCTTAATACGACTTATCACATGATAAATTCGAATTTATCACGTAATAAGCCGCATTAAGCCACAGCAAGCCATGATAAGCCAGCTTATCTTTGAATATTAACCTTGATTTGTATTAGGTCATAGAAAGAAGATGCTATTTTCAGTATCTTTTCCATCTTCTCTCTATTGGGTACGATCCACGTAGTATCATCTATATATGCTATTACAGAAATATTTGTTTGTTTGTTTATTTTAGTTATTAAGGATGATACTTCAGCTACATAACCAAGTTTGGAATCTTGTATACGTTTGATCAATGGGTCATAATAGATTCTCCATAATATCGGTGAGAGCATGTCTCCTTGGTCTAGTCCATTTTCTACCTCGTATGATAATGTTTTACCAGATTCCATGATAACTTGGATCTTTTTTCTGACTAAAATATTAATTAATAACTTCGTAATATTCTTATTCATACCTATTCTCCTTAGAGCTTTCTTTAATGTACACGATCGTATACCTTTGACATATCTATAACTTCTTTTTTTCTAGTTTTGCATCTTTTTGAATATGATTTAATTGCTGAATAGGGAATAAGGTTTGTGAAAATGGTACTGCTATATTATTAACACTAGATAAAATGTTATTATATTTTAATATTGTATCGCTTATTCTATTTGCTAGTATTTTAGTAAATATCTTTCTATAATGTTCTATTAATGTTATAGGCTTAGTCATTGATAAATCACCATTTCAATATCCTAACTTCGCTATTGGCTATACCAAACCTTTTTTTCATACCTTTGGTATTTCTTGCAATCTTAATATCATATTATAATTTTTTTTAACTTTTCAATTGCGACTTCAGGTAGTTTCTTTAATACTTTATTCGCTAATATTAAAAGACCCATTGCTTTGCCAGTTGGGGCTAATCTGACAGCTTTTTTATCTCTTGTTGTGATATTGAGTCTTCTAGAGTACTAAAGATCTTTTGATTGTATGCCTTTCTAGATTTGTACTATTCTTTCTACTCTTCCCATCTCTCGTAATTCATGTGATTGTGTTGGGTCCATCTTTTAAAGTGATTCCTAATTTCCTTTTTTATTCTCTCTTCGTTTGTTATCACTTCAGACAGAGTTATTATTTTCTCGGTCATCACTTTAGTATATTTCTTCTTGAGTATACAACCAATTATACACTTGGTATTATTTTTGAAATTATAGTATCTTTTCTCTATATGTTTGTTTATTTGTTCTCTTTTTGTAGCCATGTTTTTCAAGTTTTTTGCTTTTTGCAGTCTTTAATCTTTGGATTGTAAATTTTATATTTGCCAACTGTATGTTGATTTTATTTACTTCATTGCATACTAGCTCTGTAAGTTTTTTAATCTCCCCTATCCTATCATTAACTTTGTCTTTCATCATTGTGATGCTCCAAAGTGCCATTAATCTTAAAATTATTGCAATGGCCTTATTGAGAGCTTGGATTTCTTTATGTAGATTGATAGCTATGAAAGTATACTTATGATGAACCTTATTTGTATGGTAACTTGTTGGAATAAATTTGCAAGTAGCTTGTTTTATGATATTGCTCCAGTTATTTTATGCTTTGTCTAGAGATACTTGATCACTAATTAGATTGTTAAGTGTGAATGATGCTATCATATATTTTGTGACATACTCAGCTACTTTCAACCAATTATCTGTACTCATCTTTTTGTAGCAGAACTGCTTTTTATAGCTTTTTCTTTTTCTTATCATCTTACTGGGTAAATATAACTTCTACTAAGTTTGTAGTATTAAGTAATCACTGTCTGTAGAGGAATTAGTTTTATATAATTCTGGTTTTATAAAGTCTGGCAATATTTTTGAATAGATCCAAAAATCATTAATCTGACTGTTGAGCTCATCTTGGCACCAGGTGTTTTTTTCTATATCATGAATTTGAAGTAAACTAACCAAATCTATGTCGCCCATATGTTTTAGTAATGGTGCATTTGTTATTGTTTAATTCTTTCTTGAATTTTTATTAAAATCACCCATTACTAGTGTGAATATGTTCTTTGCTTTCATGTTGTTTACCTAGTTGATTACTTTTAATTGGGTATTTCTATTTGTTTGATCCATCTTAGATGGTATGTAGACTTCTATAATTCTGATTTTTAAGTTTTCAGGTAAAAAAAGATCTACTTTTAACACAATGCCAGGTATCGACTTAATATTATACATATATTTTCTTATCTTCTTACTTAGCGCTATAGTAACTTCTTTTAAGAACTCATTAATATTAGCAGTTTGTTCATCGCAGTTAGCCATGTATATTTTGTATAATAGGTTGGTATAATATAAAAGATGAGCCAATGCGGCAAGTTTGGTCTTAGTTATAACTATTACATCTATATTTTCTGCTTTACAGTATTTTAACCAAGTCTGTAATTTGTTGTCTATATTTATCCCTTGCACATTAAATTCAAAGATGTCCCATCCTGGTTCTGAGAGATCGGGTAGTTGATTGATGAAGTTAGATAAAGATTTTACTTCGAATTTTTTTATGAGATATTTCATTACTGCTTCAATTTGTTTATAACTTACTACCAGTATCATACTTGCAAGTTCTAGTTGTTTTTTTTTTGATTTTAGCTTTTAGTTCATCAATTGTATTTGGTAGGTAGTTGTTGTTTAGTATTTGTTCCTCATGTAATTGTTCTATTTCTATCCAGGCTTCAGATATTTTATAGAAATAATATTTAGTTCTCAAGTTCCTTGCTGTGTCTGCGACTTGGTCGATCGATTTCATTGGCACAATTATTTTAAAACCTTCAACCTTCTTGTAGTCCTCCAAGAGATCAGATTTGTCCGTGAGGTTCACTGTTATACTCCTGTAAGAAAGCTAGTGGTATACTGTACTCTTTTGGTATTTTTTTTATAAATGCTATTGCTTTTTCTTTATTGCTTATCAGGAATATGAACTTCGTTTTTAATCGCAGATTTTTAGGATCTCTTAGTAGTCTCCTTTTTGCTATAATGAAGTTGTTGAGAACTCTCTTAAATTCATAATGCTTTTTAAAGATACTAACATACTTCTTGAAGTAATCCTGATTGTATAGATAAAATGGAAACATGTATTTAATCTTTTTATCTAATTCTTGTAATGTTGATGATAATTTTGGCTTTGGTGGAGGTAGGTCGAAGTACGTATCAGGTAACTTTTTTTCTAGTATATAATATCTGCTCAAGCTCTTTTTATATTCATGCAAATTTGCTAGTTTTGCTTTTTCTTTAATTGGGAAGATTTGTGCCACTGCTAGTATCAAATCCTTAGGGTCTTCTGGAAGACGTTCTCTTTGTTAGTCAAAGTAAGACTCAAGTAGCATTCCAAATATAAATGTCTTTCTCAATGCTTAAACAGTTGGCTTAGTTAATCTTCTGTCTGTAATAGGTAGGTCAAATAGTATCACGTTTAGAATTTCTTGAAGCATTCTCTTTGGGAAGCTTGGTAGTTCTTCTTTCATTGCTGATTCTACTTCTTCTATTAACCTCCTTACCTCTTCGAACTTTAATTCATATTGCACATTTGCAAACCTTAGACAATAGTATAGCAGACAAGTATTATTGTGCGTATTAGCTGTTAACATGTTATAGTTTCTCAAGAAGTCAAAGCATAGTTTCATCTTCAGCATGTAAAAGATTTGGTTACAATTGGTCTTATTAATTTACAAGACTTTATGTTTTGTTTTGTATCTGTCTTGAGCCATATAGAACAGTTGGTTAAATTCTAATTGATATGCAGGTTTCGCAGTATAATTTCTTGTGAAGGTATGAAAGATGAATTTGTCTATATGCTTGTATAGCATGGGAGATCTTATTCTTAGCCAGGATAGTAGTATATTTGTAGTGAAGAAATTTCTTTAGGCTTGCCAGTGTTTGTATTGCTTCACTAATTGCTTTGTTGTTCCAGATTAATGGATCACATACCTCATTTTGCTTTTCATACATGTATTTGATTATGACTTTAGACCAAATCGACCCTAGCTCTTCACATGAGTATTTTTCATATACCATATTCATCAATACTTGTTTATAGAATGGTGTCTTGTCTTGTTCTATATCTGCAGGTTCGTTATTATTTACTAACTCAGCCTCTTCTGTTATTAGTTGGTCCTTAGGTTCCTGTTCCTTCTGTTTCTCTTTCTTGTTCGGGTTCTGTATTTGGTCAGTATCTATTTTGTCTATTGTCGATTAGTTCTCACGATCTACATCCATTCTTGGCATGAGAATTTCTACCTGTGCTGTGGGAGGTGCCAGTTTTTGCTCATTTTCTATTACCGTAGATGGTAGTAAGGATACTACAGACACATTATTAGTTCCTTTGGCTTCAACTGTTGAAGCATTGTGCTGTTGTTTCTGTTTCTTTCTGTTGGCCTATTCTGGTTGCTTATCCTGGGCCTTAGTAACTGATATTTCTATAGGTTGTGCTTCGTTCATTTTTCTTTTAGAGAGTGGCTCTTAAGAGAGTAGCTATGGGATATTGGTGATTCTATCTCTTGGTTTCGACACTGTTTTCTATTCTTTCCAGAGGGATTATATCTACTAAGAGCCTTGTAGTGCTCCCAGTTATCTTATTGTTTAGTGTTTTCACAATAGTTTAGATGTATACCAATTAAAACTCTTTAACTATTTTGTTTATTTAGTATTTTGGAATCTATGAGAAAGACTCTATCAATTCAATTTCATTAAATTATCTTTTTTTTTTTATATACTGTATTTTATTTTTATTTTTTTTTATATATTGTTTGATTTTTTTATTTATTTATTTATTACTATTATTATTATTATTATTATTATTAAATAGTTCTTTTTAACTTGTTAGCTGCTTATCCTAATTTTTTTATATTTAGTTCTCTTTAATATTTTGGTGCTATTTTCTGATAGGTTTACTAGAGAGCAGTTCCAAAATGTCAGAGAGCCTTTTAGGTATATAACACTACTTTTTGGCAAAGTTTTTGGGCTGTTTACTGGTAAGCTTTTTAATATCATAAAATTGTTTTTTAATAGGCTTTTTTTTAATGGTTTGGGTTGTTTTTAGTAGATTTCTTTAGCATTTTGAGTTGTTCTCTGGCAAGTTTTTTTTATATTTAAAGTTACTTTTTGTAGAATTTTTTTTTTTTTTAATATTTTAAGTAGGCTGTTTTTCAATAGTTTTTTTGATTTTCAAGGCTATTCTTCTTTAGCAGATTTCTTCAATATCTTAGGTGAATTTCTCAACATTTGTTTAACAAATTTTTTTAATATTTTGGGCTGTTTTTAGACAAATTTTTTTTAATCTTTGGGCTGTTCTCTAGTAAGTTTTTTTTAATATTAAAGATGCTGTTTTTTGATAGATTTTTTTAACAGTTTAAACTATTTTTTAACAGGTTTTGTGATGTCTTGGGCTGTTTTTAAATGAATTTCTTTAATGTTTTTTTGCATGTTTCGGGCTATTCTTAGGCAAATTTCTTCGATATTTGGGCTATTCTCTAATAAGTCTTTTTTACATTTTGATATTACTTTTTAATAAATTTTTTTTGACATTTTAAGCTATTTTTTAATAGTTTTTTTTTTATATTGGGGGCTGTTTATTAGTAAATTTTTTCGATGGTTTGGTGTAGTTCTTCTATTAGATTTTATTGTTACCTTGGGCTATTCAGTAAATTTTTTCAATATTTTATTAGAAGGTTTCTTTGATATTTTGGCACTGTTCTTTAGCAAATTTCTTTGATCCTTGGGCTGTTCTTTGGTAAGTTTTTTTTTTGATTTTAGTACTGTTTTCTGGTAGATTTCTATCTAATGTTTTGCAATTGTTTTTTGGCAGCTTTCTCTAATATTCTGGGGCTGTTTTCCAGCAAATTTTTTTTTTATATTTGGGCTGTTTTCTGGTAAGTTTTTTTTTAATTTTTAAGTTGTTTTCTAGTAGTTTTTTTGCTAATATTTGCTAACAGGTTTTTCAATGTTTGGGCAGACTTCTTTAATATAACTAGACAATATAAAAATATTATAAGATTATAATATAAAAAAACTCTAATTTTAACCCTAAGCTAACTTTAATATAAACTATAAGCTCACCCTAATTCTAACTATTCTCAAATTTGCTTAAATTAAATTAAATAGTTATTTATTTATATTATAATCTTATAATAATTTTATATTGCTCAGTTATACTAAAGATCAATCATTTGGGCTGCTCTTTTGTGCTATTCTTTGGCAAAATTATCTATTTTTTGCTCTAATATTTTGGAATTGATATTTAGCAGGTTTCTTCAATGATTTGGTTTTTTTTAGCAGATTTTTTGACTTTTGAGCTGCTCTTTGGTAAGTTTATTTGATTTATAAAGCTGTTTTTTCAATATATTAGGCTATTTTTAACAAATTTCTTTGACATTTAGCTGTTTTCTAGAGCTATTCTCTAGTAAAATATTTTGAAGTTGCTTTATTAAAGTTTTATAGTAGTTTTTTTGAAGTTTTTTTTTAGTTTTTTTTACTAGTTTTTTTTTTACTAGTTTTTTTTTTGATATAATTATTCTTGATAGTTTTTTTTTTCTAATTTTTTGGTGTAGTTCTCTGGCAGGTTTTAATTATTATTATTATTTTTTTTTATTTCTTTGACAGGTCTTGCCGTGACTTGACCTCTTAGTTTTAAGTATATTTAATTTTATATATTTATTTTTAAGACTAACTAAAAGCCCGACTTCACCCAGTTGCCTATCAAGATACCTAGGTGCAACTCATCGCACTAGCTTACGGATAAGCTAGAAAAAGTGTTCTCCTCAAGAGCTTGTCCAAAAGGGGTTTACACCCTTTTGTATCCAACTTAAAATAGTATCATGCTATATTTTTCTCGTCTCCTTTTCCTTTACCAATACTTCTTTTTCTTTAACTCTATTTTTGTTCTTTTTCCTTCTAGAGACTGGCGATCTACTGCTTTCTTTATCAGTCGATTTTCTCTTGTTCTTCTTTTTTATGTTTTGCTCTTTTTCCCATTCGTTGACCTTAATGCATCTGTCTTTTCATATAAAATTGTAGAAACCATTCCAGATCATATGTATAGCAAGTTCTATTGACTCTGCAGTCTTTTTCATCGAAATTAAGAGATTCTTGATTCTGTCAAAAGAGTCAATAGTAGATAGGCCCTTAATCCACAATTTTCTTTTTTCAGTTTTATCGACTTCTGTACCACAAATTAAAATCTCATAAAGAAGTCTCTTTGAACAGCGATATTTTTCTTCTTTCGTGAATTTGGACCATACTAGATCAATTGCTGTGCTTTCGATACGGTACCATATTGTCTTGTAATGAGGACATTCTGCCAAGTAATCCTGGGTTTCTGCAATACTACTATTGCATACTATACAATTGCCGCTTGTATAGATATCTGGTCTTCTTGTCACCAAGGTTCTAAGCACTGGTAAGTTTCCTGAGAGGCATTTTAATTGTATTGCGAGTTTTTTACTTTTCTGCAGCGTGTTACATTTATCTCTTTTTAATTTTTTTATTCTTTTCCAGTATGTATGCCAATCTAATTTGAGGTTATCTGTTTCAGGTTCTATGGCTCTGATTGATTCTGTTAGCTGCCAGTTTGTCTTTTTAAGAGTAGGTCTGGTTGACTTTTTGATTCTATAATTACTCCAAAAAAGCAGAAATGAAATTCTTGTTTTTAGGTCCAAGTGAATGTTCATTAAATGTGATAATGATGTGGCTTTCTTTGCCAAAGCATCTGCTCTGTTATTCCACTTGTTGTTGCTATGACCCTTGATCTTTATAAGCTCTACGTTAATCTCTTTTGCTTTGATAAGATCTGCTATTTTGATTAAAATATCTCAGTTTTTTTTTTTGAAGATTCTGTTGAATCTCCATTCACTTTTAACTTTTTCTATACTGACAATCACTGCTGAACTGTCTGAAAAAATCCAAATATTACCGTTTGTTGGAATGGTGAAAAGAGCTAGCCAGATTGCTATAAGTTCGGGCTTTGTCGATGAAAGCCAATTCTCCAATTTCGCAGAACCCTCTCATAATGACCTTTCTTGTTTCTTATCTACTTGTACCCAACCAATACCTATACTACAACTATCCACCTCACGAATTAGTGACCTATTTGTATATACCTAGAAGTTATTTCTATCACTACCAATATTAAAATCTAAACTGTTTTCTAAATTACTTGCTAGATCTAAATTGAAATTCTGATCTAATATCAGCTGTTTATCTAATGATTCCATACTTTGTAACCCACAAAGTAACCTTTCTTCATTACCAAATTTTAAAGTCTTACACTTGTTAATTTTACTAGGCAGAATATCTTTGTATTTAGGAATCTGTTTTTGATTCTCCTTTTGTAGTGGCTTTGAGATTACTGTAAGCACGTTGTTTTGATTAATCTAACTATATTTCCCATTCTGCTCAGATGATGTTGTTTTGGTGACCTACTTTACTTCAACATATCCCGACGTTAAACTATTTTCTTTTGTTGACCAGTGTTCTGTAAGGATTTTGCTTTTTCCTTTTTTAACCACCTTTCTTATCTCTAAATCCTCATTTTCTTTGTTTAACAAGATCCATTTTCTTTTTCTGTTGTCTGATGAGATTGGTACTGTTAGCATTATTAGTGCAAGATTGTTTGGTCCTGGTGATCGATATATTTTTTTGATCTTTCTGCTTATGTGATTCTCTAACAAAATGTTTTCTATAACTGAAAACTACTTCACTTTTTGCCCTACTTTGGCTTTGCTTTTTGCTATTTTGAGCTGCTGCCATGTTAGAAGTCTTTTCCCCTCTTTGTCTAAAAGTTGATCTCGGAATAAAATACTCAGATTTTTTAAATTTTTATGTGTTTTCATAAAGAGAGCTGCATCTATGACTTCTCTGATTCGTGGACCAGTTCCTTGAAAATGCCATTGATCAATGATCAGTTGAATACTTATGTTGAAGTCTTTTGCCTTGTACAGTATTGAGCATATTATATTATTTTTCCAGATCGAGGTCAACATTGGGTCTGCTTCAAAAATCCAGTTTCCATTAATAATATTTGCATTCAGCAAACCTTGCTTTATTCGAATTTTTGCTAATTGACTATCCCGGTCTGAGCTATTTAATCTACGTTGAAGATCTGTTATTTGCTGTGTTAAAAGCTCTTGCCAAAGAAATTTACAGTTTTCTAAATTTCTATGTGCTAATAAGAAGTTGCTTGTTGTACAGGGTAGCTCGATCTTGTTCTTTATTAATCTAATTATAGGTTGATGTATTGCATCTAAAGCGTTCTTAGAGAGATTAGATACTTGTAGCATATAACATAGCTTTGGGATCAAGTACATATTGTTTAAGTAAATCATTTGGCTTAGTGTGAGCTTCTTGTTTCTTATTGTCCTGATAGTCAATTAAACTAAGAGTTTGGCCTTTTTTATATTCAAAGTGGACTGGGCTTTACTACTTAACTATACTCCTAGAAATCT